AAAGTGACATTTTCTGTCAGACTCGTCATCGTCGAGGGTGGCTTCCCCGCCTTTGGTGTTGGCAGCGAGATCTGCGCCCAGATTGTAGAGAGCGAGGCCTTTGACTATCTGGATGCTCCGGTCGAGCGAGTGACGGGCGCCGACGTCCCCACACCGGTTCGTCCCCAAATATCCGTTGTCTTTACCCGCTGACTCGTCGTTCACAGTATGCAACCAACCTCGAGAACCTGGCATTCCCGGACACTCCCCTGATCGTCAAGGTCGCAAAACGGGCACTTTATCGCACTAACTAGCCTTTAATTATCTGTGCACTTACAAAATAGACTACACTTCGCACGTTAAGTCCCTCAGCTGCGCAGACGGATTCGAACGGCGTTGGCATGCGCTTCTAGCCCCTCGCAGTCCGCCAGCGTCGCTACGACGGGTCCGAGTGTCCTCAAGCCCGCCTCTGTGATCTCCTGCGACGTTATGTGCTTTTGGAACGACAAGGTATTAACCCCGCTGAATTGGCGCGCATAGCCGTTCGTGGGCAGCGTGTGGTTTGTGCCCGAGGCATAATCCCCGCAACTGATCAGTGATTTAAGTATCACATCCAGCATAGTGTTTTGGTGCACACCTTTCGGGTGAATACGGTCCGACGAATACGCTGCCGGCGTTGTCAATGAACTGTACCTTCTCGCTCGCATTCTTTAAGTGGAGGATCAAGTGTTCCGGCGCGTAGTCGTTGGAGAAGGCGATGGCTTCCTCCACGGACGTGGATTTGACGATGATACTTTTGGCGATGGACTTGCGCACAATGTCCACGCGCGAGAGCGCATGCGCCTGGATGTCCACTTCATTCTCGATCTCGGCGAGCTTGTCTGCGCTGAGGTTGACCGCAACGAGCACGACCTGCGAGTCGATGCCGTGCTCTGCCTGGGACAGCAGATCTGCGGCAACAAACGCGGGATTTGCGGTGTAATCTGCGATGACCTGCGACCTTCTGAGAGCCGTTATCGTGCACGCAAATGAGGGGACTCACGAGGACCTCGGACGGCCCCGCCGGCATGTCGATGGACACCAGCGCATCCGTGTCGTTCTGCACGAGCATCTTCGCCGCGGTGACCCACTGGTTACCCGGACCGAATATTTTATCGACCTTGGGTACGCTTTCGGTCCCGTATGCGAGCGCCGCGACGGCCTGCGCTCCCCCGGCTTTGAGGACCGCGGACGCGCCGACGAGGTTCGCGACATACATCACCTCAGGCGAGATGCTGCCGTCCGGCCGCGGCGGCGTAGCTAGCACGATTTGCTGGCACCCAGCAACTTGGGCGGGGATGCCTAGCATTAGAGCCGTCGAGGGGAGGATTGCGGTGCCGCCCGGGACGTACAGCCCCACGCGCGCGATGGGGCGCGCGAAGCGGGAGCAGACGACGCCGGGCATGGTTTCCACCCGGAGGGTCGCCGTGTCCGCCTGGGCCTCGTGGAACTTTTTAATGTTGGCATACGCTATTTTGATGGCCTCGCCGACCTCGGGGTCGACGATCATAGTTTCCGCTGCGAAGGGCGGGAAGACAACCGTGGATGTTAGTTTCGCCTTGTCGAATTTGGCGGTCAGTTCGAGGAGCGCGGCGTCGCCACGGATGCGGACGTCGTCGACGATGGGCTTCACCCGGGTGATCATCTCGTCCGATTTAAGGACGGGGCGGCGGAGGAGGGCGCTGCGCTGCTCAGACGTGATCTGGGCAAGGTCGGATGTGCGCATGCGAATAGCCGCATCTTCTTCCTCACTTTCGGGGACGACGGGTGGTGGTGGGGGAGCACTTGGTTTCTTCGACCACTCTGGTTTAGCATTTCCCGCTCTTCGCGTCACGCGTCTCGCTTTCTTGTCGAGAGAGGCCTCGATGTCGGTGATCCCAACCCCGGAAGCGATGCACTTGGTTAATGCGAAATAAAATAGGTCGGCAGCTTCGAACGCAACATCTGTCTTGTCCTCGGCGCGGCACAGCTCGTCGGCCTCCTCCATGATTTTGGAGCGCAGCAGCTCCGGGTCGCTGAAGAGTCGCTTCGTGTACGAGCCCTCTGGCGCCGACTCGAAGCGGGCTCGTAGTGTGCTCTCCAACGCGGACAAACCACTTCTTTCGCCAAAGCACGACTGGCGATTGAGGTGACAGAATCCGGCACCGTGCTGGACGACGCGAAACTCGAGACTGTCCGAGTCGCAATCTAATCGGATGCTAACGACATCCTGGGTCGCGCCGGACGTCTCCCCCTTTCTCCACAACCCGTGTTTGCGCGATTGGTATACGCCCTTTCCAGTAAGGATGCTCTCTTTGACCGACGCGGAAGAGGAATAGACGAGGCCCAGTGAATGACCCGTTTCTGTAGATACGACGGTGGGGAACAGGCCATCCTGGCGATCGGATACAATGGGAGCGAGAAACGCGTCTGCAATATTTATCTGAGAGGCCGAGGTCGCACCGAGAGTGAGTTGGGAGGCCGGGAGCACTGGTGTCGCCCCGATGCCGAGTAGCCCGCGAATTAAGGAATTCGTTGGGGGGACGGAGGAGCTGGATAGAACGTGGATGGCTGACCCAGTGAAAAATTTGGATATCGACGAGATGAGATCCAAGTCGATAGCTGGGGTCTTAAGCAATACGCCTGAAACACCGTTCCGGACTGTGTCTGATACCGCACTGACATTCCCGACATCGAGCAAAAGGAGCAATCGCTCAGAGGAGATGAGTTCGATTAGTTCCTTTGCCCATGCGAGCGGCACGATAAGCTTTTCGACGCCGATATCCAGCCATGAGACAGCCTCATCCAAGACGAATGGACGAGAGGAATCGACGAGGATGAAGCAATGGGCAGGCAGCGGAAGAGCCGGTGAGCGGGATGAAGGAAAGATGATTGGTCCGATGCGGCTGAGAGCATCCAGCAGCTCGCCCCCTTCCTCCTCGAGTAACGGTAGAAACACAGACATGCTTTCGGTGCGGACGATTGTCTTCAAAAGAGAGAGTATAGAAAGAGTCTGTGCAAGACTAGGTTCGGCAATTCTTTCATTCTCGGAGTCATCCCACGCGTCCACGTGAGCCAATTAACGCTTCTTCTCACAGGCAGCCATGGCGCGCTACTGACTGGTTTTCCAGTTCTCGACGCGTAACCTTTCAAAAGTAGCAAAAATTAACAACAATGGTTCCTCAAAAGGGTCAGAGCAGTACGTATTCCAAAATCATCAAGACTACTCTTTGGCAAGTCACAGGTGGTCAGTCGCATTTTCTGCTGGCTTCTGACTCTTCTCATTCCTCGATTTTGGCATGTACGCATTGTCTATGGTCAAATCACCTGCATTTATCCTCGCTAAACCACATCTACTTTCCAGAATCGGAATCCACATCTCGACGCTCGTCGCTTCGCGCTTAGGCTTGCTCGTCCGAGTCTTTGCCCTCACCTCATCGGGACCTCGGCACCCGTCGCGGCCATGGGATATGCCTTCGCTCCTCCGGCTCCTTTGCTCTTGCTTTCGCGCGTCTTTCCTGACATCGAGCCCACCGCCATCAACGCCGTCCTGAGCCACACGATCCGCGAACAAGACCTCTACATGCTCGATCCATGCGTACGGGATATCGAACCCACAAACGTCTTCAGCGGGTTCACGTCCACCTTTGAACCATCGACCGCGAATTCAGGCAATACTCTAGTCTCGACAATGACATCTTCCCACTACACACGTCCTTCGTCATCTTACTCACCCCCAACCCCAATGCGCACGCACTCCCCGTGTACCTCCTCTCGTACTTCACTCAACTCCAAATGCTAGCTGCCGATTACGCTTGTGACGTCGTTCTCGAGTACCACACATTATTTTTAAGTCGCCGCAGCCGCGAAATGGCGGCCTCCGGCGACTATTCTGCATAGCAAGCGCCTGACATCGTGCTATTGTACACTTTTGTGTACCCCTACCGCGCTTCACCATCTACAACCTTCCGCTGCCTCGCTTGCGCATCCACAAACACGTACGGAAGCGGTTGTCCACACACGCCTTCCTTCAACGCGAAAGCACGGACCCGGTCGCGCCCCAGGCGCCCCGTCCGCGCGTCCTTGCCTTCCCCCCATCGGAGTCTGCATTCCGACGGGTCGACCCTACGTAGGATTTCGGCAGGACGAGTATTACCTTGTCACTTCTACTACCTCGTCTGAGCCCTCCCTCGGACGACCCCGCAGCAGTACCACATTCGTATCAGCTCCTAGCCCTCTGCGCCATCACGTACAAGGGAAAAACATCCCATCTCACTGTCGAGATTCAGACCCGGCCCTAATTCTCACTGCAAACGCCCCACAGAATCACTTCCTTCACCTTGCACAACCGCCGCGCTCGGCACCATCCTTCGTGCCGCTCCCGGGCGCCCCCCGGACTGCACCCTTGCTCCTGCCAGCTTCGATGCACCTCTATCTCGCGCACCCGCTGCGCTCCAGCTTACTCGCTCCGCGCGGATGCATCACTCTTTGTTCCCACACGCCTTCATCTTCCTCTGTTCCGAGTCTCCGACCCAACGTCCGACCTCCCCCGCGGTCATCCAGACATGAGCAACCACACCGCCTTTCACCTCCTCCCTTAGCGCTTGAGCCAAAACACCACTTCCACTCGCCAACAAATCCTCATTCCACCTCCGAAAAATCCCAAGGAAAAAATACATACTCATCTGGCTCATCCTCTCATCGTCGCTCCCGATGCTCCGGCTCTTCTCAACTCTTTACTTTGGACCCAATTCAAATTGTTCCCAAATTCTCCGGTCTCTGACCTTTCTTGTCGGCCCTCCCGCGCGTGCCCCAGAGGCGAAGCAGTGTGAAGCATCAGATATCTACGCATCTGCTGTGTAGTGTAGCGGTTACCGCTTCAGATTCGTGGTAAGTATTTCTCGCCAACCAGCGTAGGCGAAACAGCGTAGGCGAAAAGGCACTCGCAAGGCAGATTTGGTAATGACTTCAGGGATGTAACAGCAACAGAGAAGGTGGATACCGGCTGTGTAGTGTAGCGGTTATCACTTCAGATTCTGACGGGGGTATATTCGTACCAGTAATTCTGGCGACCCCGGTTCGATTCCGGGCACGGCCTATCTTTTTGCTCCTCCACGCCGCAGCATGATATCCTCGTTTACCCACCCACCTTTGCCAAAAAGTATTGATCCCACTGCCACAACCGCATATCTGATCAAACGGGGCTCGGAATTGGTACATAGCATCATGACCATGTCGGGATGTTCAATGTAGAGCGGCTTAATTTTCGGGGGAGAAGTGAGGCTGCGGTGAAGCTGCCGAGTCTGCAAAAAAAAATCATCCAGATTTGGCGGGCATCGATTGGATCAAAATCCGTTGCAGATTTTCGGCTGAGCTCAATATGCTCTATACGTTTGGTAGTGCACCCCGGGGTGCGAGATCAGTGCAGGAATATGGCGACACGAATCACTGGACGAATTCCGCTACAGCAGAGCGGCTGCACTGGTCCCGCTGCAGCATTTCCGTAGACTAGTGCAGCGAACGAGCTGCAGTGGGTCTGGTTAATAACAACACGGGTGAGTAGAAGAAAAATATGTACAGATGGCCGGGCTCCTAGGGATTCTGTCCAGTAGCATCCCTACGACGAGGTCGGTGGTGCGAGAAACCTAGCAAGAGGAAGGGCTGAACAAACTCCGCTGGACGACCTCCGCCGCAACAGAACGGCTGGAGCGCCTCGACTGCAGCCACGTGCCCCCACGAGGTACTGCTGCAGCGGACATGCTGCAGTGGCGTCGGTAACACGCTGCAGCAGACCCCCTGCAGCGGCATAACGGCATGACTTTGTGTGCAGCGACACTCGTCCACCTGAGTTCGTGCAGCATTCTCTCATCAAGGAAATGCTGAACACCCCTTGTGTTGCACTGCCCGCGCCGACACCGACGCCTGTGTGGTACACCATCCCCGTGCCCGTCCGCAGGCGCGGGCACGCGATGGCGCCCTGCTCGTACATCGGCGTCGTCGTTACCGACAGCGACACACATGATGAGGTGTTGAGGCCGCTCGAGCGTTTTGAAGCCGAAGCTGGGGGACGTCAGCATGTGAGTGGCATGGTGCGGTTGTGCACGTACTATTTGTCGCTGAAATCGCGATTGTAGATGATGGCAGTATCGAGGGTGGCCGCATTGGCGACGACCACCTCGTACGTGTCCTTCGCGACGAGCGACGCTGATTTCCCAGTCTTGGGGTTGTCTGAGACTGGATGAGCACGGGACAACAAAGGGGAGTAGCACGACGCACCATAGTGGTACAGAGAAACGTACCAACAACTCATCTGGGACCCCCACCGTCTTCCGGGTCGCTCGCGAGCCACTGCGTAGTTGATGTCGCTGATGCGGTTGAGGTTGAAGGTGAGGACCTTGGTAATGGCGTGCAGGTGCTGGAAGTCGTGCTTGCCCTGGGAGATGAAACTCGGGAGCGCGATCGAGGCGAGATTGCAGACGGCGGTTTCGTCGGGGGGCGGAGTACTCGATGATCTATGTGCAGAGGTTGGAGGACTTGACGGTCCTGAGGTTCTTTTGGTTGGATTTTACTGGAGGGACAGTCAGCAAGGGGAGTAAACTAATCAGGATAATTTGCAGTTTGCGGCATCCTTGTACAGCATGAAAGGACCTCCTGCTGTCTCAACCTGCGCCCGGCGTCGACGCGGTTCACGCTGGGGGACGGTTTAATATCGTGTGGTGTTGAATGCACGGTGCACTCACAAAAGATCGGGAATCCAGAGCGCGAGGAACAGATCGCGAGCGCGCATCTGCTCCTTGCCGTGGTCGATAAAGTCGAAGACGTCGGCGTGCCACGGCTCCAGGTAGATGGCAAACGCGCCAGGCCTCTTGTTCCCGCCCTGGTCGACATAACATGCCGTGGCGTCGTATGCGCGGAACATGGGCCCGATGGCATTCGAGTAGCTGTTGGTCCCAGAGATGTATGATCTGCAAAGGTGTAAATATAACGCAAAATAACGAGCACTGAAGACATACCCGGTAGCACGGATGTGGCTGATGCTCAAGCCAATGCCGCCAGCACTTTTGCTGATCATGGCGCAGTTCTTCAGGGTGTCGTAGATGCTTCCTTCATGCAGATAAGGAAGCACGAGCTCAGCTGGGCTTGAGGTGTACCGGCGTTGGAGAGCGTGGGGGTCGCGTGCGTGAAGTAGCACTCGGACATGAAGTTGCTCTCGATGACGGGGTTGCGGGGGCAGGCACAGGACGAGCGGCGGAAGCGGAAGCGTCGTGGTGGTGAGGTGACAACCGGCCGGTTGCCGTGATGCCAATTTCACGACCCAAGGACGCAACGGGATGCGACGCGAGGCCGAGACGCGACGCGACGCGACGCGACGTTCAGCGAGTGCGGGAACGAGGGGTCGATAGGCAACGGCACGAGGGTGTGAAACGACATGGGAGGACGTGAACACGCGACATGATGATCTTGTACAAAAAGGCCACGCTATATTGCATGTTAGTGAGATGAGACAGGCTAAGGAGGACGTGCAGACATACCGAGGGAGGCCAGATTGCTGGGAGAGCAGAAGAAGTGGGAAAGAAAAAGATAATAGGAAATGAGACTCTGCCGCTCGCAACGTCCGGGCCATGTATGACCTGACTAGAGCATCCGGCGGGCTACACTGTAAGCGTGCCGGTGAGACAGCAGAGGGAGACATGGTGGCTAAACACCAAGCTCGCGAGACGTGTACCAAACAACGCTCACGGTTTTATACAAGCGCGTCGCGTTGATGGACACGTGATCGTTACGCGCTGCGGTGACTTTGGAATTTAGCTTTGGTGACTTTGGTCCATCTACGGCCTAACGCGGCCCTACGCGCTCGCACCGCCACGCTATCCTCAGTCACTCACTACCACACCGGGATCGATAGTACCCAACACGAAGGCAGACGAGCTCAATCTGGCGAGGTACAACTCAAGCAATTCAATCTTGCGCGATGTATATTTTTCTACGAAATGGTGATGAAATAAATCACTCTTGTTTTGCGGATCCTTGTGAGCTACGGTTCAACCACCAGATTCCTCCGTTGAGATATGTTGCAAACGAAAGCCAAGCGCAATATGGCAAGAGCAAGTACGCTGCTTGTGTAGAGTTCGCGGCAACCAGTTTCTAAACGCAGTTGCGCGACAAGTTGTGAGCGATGGCATGCAAAGGATCAGAAGACAGGCTTCACCGTCATATAGAATGTGGCTGCTGCCATTAACCCGCTATCGATCAGGGCAGCTCCGGTCTGCAGGAGTTCGTAGGCGGATGGATGGATAATCGGGGAGACTGAAGGGACCCACTTTCTTGGCGCCGAAAAACAACGGGGTCCAGAGAATATTTAAAGCAAGTTGAGCGTAATACAGTGAAAGGGCAAGCATGCAGTCGGATCTAATATAAAATTTGAAGGTCGACGCTTCTCAGAGGTGGAAGAAACGAAACTTACCTGACCGCCGGAGAAAGAGCGCTGTCTAGGGCCTTGATTGTGAGATGTGAAGCATATCCCATGGCTTGAGAAAATCCGGTTCATTTGCGAGCGTGTAGCGCGGAAGACTGACTGCTTACAGATGTATAATATAGGCCAGACAATTGGGAATACCTGGCGCGGTGGGCGGCCGGGAGGAGTGCGCAAGTTCTATTGGACTCGTTCATTAGCTCCGAGCTGGAGAACACATGCAACATAACATACCTTGTACCAATCGCTTCGGACTACTCCGGCTGTAGGGTAGCCGCTCAAAAGGCCGAGACCGAGGGGTAGCCCGACTGCTACGACGGGGATTCTTGCAGCAACGAGAAGAAACTCGGGAAGGTGGACGTTAAATGAGGACATGGGACAAGTCGGAGGCACGAAAGGCTGCGAGGCGGTGGGATTCTGGGAAGAAAGGCGACGTCGCGTGACGTCACCGGGAGAGGAAGGGGGATCGATCGCGTCGCCAATGCCATCAATTTATTTCAAGCACAAAGGGTTGTTGGTGAACAGCCGCAGATTTAGATTAGAGTACATGGGACATTTAAATGATTCGACGGTAGATTCAGTGCAGGTCTTCGATGGCAAAGCAGTTACTGAGGAGCGGTTAGATAAGTTGATTGAAGCCTCGGACAGTGCGACATACCAAGATGAATTCAATCTGTTAGCAGATAGATTACTGGAGAGGCATCAAGGGAAGGAAGAGAACGAAACGCCTCCAGCGAGCTGCTGGCCTGCGCGTCGGGTCGCCGAGTCCGAGAAGTCGACGGTGAGGATCATAGTGGTTAGCCCCAAAACATACTAGGCAGGTGCTGACAAATCTTCAGGCGTCTTCTTTCCTCCCTTCGCCCTGTTACCCACTGCCACCGGTGTCGGCAAGCTCTTGAGACCGAAGCGCGAGTTTCGGGCTCGCCAACACCCCCCGTGAATGTCCGACGGCGTCGACTCCGGGTTGTCCCTCCCACTCCCTCCACTTGTCGACAGCTGCCCTGGTCGTTAATCCTCTGCGCGCCCAACCCGTGCGCATTGTCTGCGCGCCTAGCCCGTGCGCGGAAGCTGCGCGCCTAACCCGTGCGTGGCGACCAGGCGGCGACTGACTTGACCCAATTCTGCTCCTGTCACCGGGCCTTCTGGTCGTTAACCCTCTGCGCACCTAACCCGTGCGCAGTGTCTGCGCGCCTAACCCGTACGCGGCGACCGGGGGACCCAACCGACTTGGGCGCCACTCCTCCCGCCCCGCCATTTCATCGCCCCATGCCTTTTCTCTCGCCCCGCCACATCCATTTTCTCTCCTCCTCTGGCCATCTCGAGACTATTGCAGTGATTCACGATTCGGTATGTCCATTTAATGTACTTGCTAACCTCGGACTGACTTGTCTCCCAGAATTTCATTGGCTTCAATATATCGACGAAGCCCTTGACACCGTGGCTATGACCGATCGGGCACCATTTTGGTTCGTCTCACTGTGCCTGTACCTGGCGAGGTACGCTGATCTGTTATCGAATAGATCTCCGGCATAGGTCTCGAGTCCGATCAACGACTTGTACCAATTCCCCCTTCTCTGCTGACCGGCGCCGACTAGTGTCCGCGCCAGGCCACAGAGTTGGGAAGA